GACATGGGTGTATTCACTGGATAACACAGTACATTATGTGATAAAGAAAATTTATGTTATGGTGTTATCACACTGCAATCAAACTAAGTTGAGTTTACAATAACATTATATATATAATATACGTTACCCATAGAGAAGTAAAATCGTAGGTTTCCAACTCCTCTTGTATCCATGTAGGGTGTACATGCTTTTCTATCTCCATTACTGCTGAACACTAAAGAGTTCCCTTCATGAATTATACCACAGTTTACATCAGGCAGACCCCCTTGTATGTCCCACCTGTTCAATTCAGGGAAAACATGTACAGTTAATGTACATGTTTTAAAACATTCTTTTTTTAATGCCCTTTGCACTTTATCAGTGAAATTTTAAATCATCACTACCTATAAAGTACATATCTTCAGAAGCACAGTTGCACAGGGATAGTGGTTGATGAAGAGCTAATTAGTCAGAGTGACCTCATAAAGTGTTAAACTACCGCATTTTATATAATATGGGTGTGAGTAAATTACGTGTCAAGGGCCTATATTCAGACACATACATGCATTTCCTCAAACAAAATAATCTCTCATTTCTTCACACTGCAGACATGAAGGTCTTTTATCCAAACCCCAAATTGAAATCTCCATAAATAAATCAGGACATCATTCTGATAGATTGCATTGAACTCCATTATCAGAAAATGCTCCATGACAGCTAAAACTTTTCAAAATAATTATGAACAGCACAATTTTGGTAAAAGTTTAGTTACAAAACATAACAGATAGCTTCTTGGGAAAATTCAGCCCCCCACCCCTCCCTTAAAAAATCTGGCATAATACATTTTTTTTTCCAGATATATCAAAAACATCCCTCGGGGTACCATTATTGAAGCGGACAACGTGAGAAAGGGAGAAAAAAAACCTGTTATTCTTACCCTGGTTGTTGTTTCAGCTCAAAAACTTCCTCCAGCATGACATCGGAGAGGTCCTCAATGCTGAGGTCCATATCTCTGGTCACAACATAGTTCACTGTCTGGTTCACCATACTGAAGTACATCGAGTTGTCCTCTGACCGACACTTACGCTGTAAATAA